CCCTTAATCCTTTCCTTCCACATAGTACACACTTTTTGGTTGGTGTACATGAGGCACTGCGAAGTTGCAGCAATGTCTTCCTCCTTCTCCCTTATTAGTTTTTCATAATATTCACTCAAAGTTTTTCATAATAATCACTCAGAGTTTCATGAAGATCGTCATTCTTGTTGCTTTCGAATTTCAAACACTGAATTGTTCTACATTTAAACTTTACTCCCTCCATTTTATTTTTCCAATATAAATATAACATCAATCCCAGTTCTACATCATTCTTCCACAATGTCGAGTGCTGATTTCACCACCGAATCGATGAGTGTACCAGAGTATTCTATGTCGAGTACAGGACCCATCCAGGTACATGAAATAGATTCAACGTCCGATCATCTCAGTACAACCTTCGCTCAATTTCTGCAACGCATCTATGATCTTCCTGATGATTTTCCAGAACGTATAGAAGAAGGTATGCAAGAGGAAGTAGATGCAGAGTTAGAGATGGGTGTTGACGACTTAGACGATCTAGATGATTATGCGGACGATGTCATTAGTAAATCATCTGATTCAAATGATTATGAGGACGACATCATTAGTATATCATCAGATACAGATGATTCAGATGACGACACCATAATCATTGTTTCTGATGATGAGGAGCGTTAGTCCATACCATTGCATGGATTATTAAAAAAAACAGCCCATTTCAGGGCTACAATTGAAGACTGAAACAAAAACAGCTCTTTTCAGAGCTATCATTATACTTTCAAACAGAAACAGGTTCATATCATTGTTAACATTTGGTATATATATATATATTCAATGATTAAGAAATTGCCTAATTCAACTTTCAGTTAAAGTAGTACTCATCATATGCATAGATATTCAATGACTAGCAAATTCCCAACTTTGACTTTTCAGTCAAAGTAGTAATTTGTCATATAATACACCGATATTCAAAGACTAACAAATTTCCAACTTAAAGTAGTCATTTGACACATAATCTGTGAATACTACTACTACTACTGTTTGTGTGAATAATGTTGCCCTAAAAAGGGCTGTTGTTTTTTTTTGACCAGTCGACACTCGGGTGAAGTTTGTTAGGGGTCTCTCGCAAGCATCGCACCAATTCTGACCCAGTTCCATCATAGAAACGGTGTTGTGGGTGTTGATATGATGATACCACCCTCCATTATTGTTTCTAATGGAGTAAAAATGAAAACAACACCAACATAGCTTTTTGATGTTGTCATCAATCGTTCGAATCCGCACATGCGCGTCCATCACGCAATATAAATCCATGGGATCTTCTAATGTGTCGGTGATCTTGAGCAATCGGAGACCGATTCTCAAAGCACCATCACCTTCAGATGAATCAGCTACAACCCCTTCATCATCGCCTTCACCATCCACGACCAGCTCATCGACCATTTCATCATTTTCATCGCTCTCGTTAGCCTCGTTTTCATCTTCGTCGTTTTCGTTAGCCTCATTTTCATCTTCGTCGACTCCAAGGTCAATCTCCTCTTCATCGACTCCAACACCTTCTTCAACTATCACTTCCTCTAGCGGAATGTTGGCATCCTCATCATCTGACTCGTCTATCCAATCTTTTGCATCAACAGCAGATATTCTATTCAATGCAGCAACTATTTTTTCAGTATTCATCTTGACGTTTCCTCACAGATGCAGAGTGAGTGAATGAACTTTAGGTTCGCAAGTCGACTCATATAATTATATAGGTAGTGGTGGTGGTAGTGGTACGACTCCCACTTATCATTTGACTCGTTTTGAGTGGGAGAGAAGGATATAGCATCTCAAAACATAAGTTGGTATGATGAAGTCATGCTTGTGAGAAGGAGAAGTTCTCCCACTATACTTTCACATGGTGTTAATTTGTATAAATTCAGAATGTCGGTATAGGAGAGGACAGTCAGAGTTTCTATAAGTCATCTCTTGAAATTTCTAATCGAATAAGTGAAATGCCATTTCCAAAAGAGTGGAATGAAAAACCAAAAGTGTGCGTCTACCCAATGATGATTGCGGGGGCTATTGTGTGCTACTTTTGCCAAATAAGTAGACCTGAGGAAACAATTAATCCATGCACTGGTATGTGCAGTGATTGTGTGTCGCGGATTCAGCTATCGCCTCCATCTCATCCACCGAAGCGAACATAATCAGAATATCGTCAACAACAGTCACAGTGCCTGAAGTGTTCCGAGCCTATCACAATCAATTANTTTATTGTGTCATTGTCAGTATTATTGCCAATAATCAACTTCCTCTTTTTATTATTATTGCGAGTAGTTAGCTTCCTTTCAACCACTTTCCACGGATTTGCTTCGAAATTGAATTAACTGCTTCGCGATTATCATAATAGAGATCAGTATTTTGTGTTTCTTTATCAAGATATATGATATTATTCATTTTAGCCATGTCCTCATCTTGAATGATTGCAGAAGCCAGCTCGCCCTTTTTTATTATTTGTGAATGTCCTCGTGAAATCCCTTGTTTATTTTGTTGATTTTTCGAGGTGTTTTTGTGTGTAGGTTTATGTCTGATACTATTTATTGGTAGTTTTTCAATAGTATCTTTTTTTGCTTGTATTGGCATTGGAATGTCTGGCGATGGGAGAACTGTGTTTTGTTTATTTACTTCACTGAACAACTGGATATGTTTTTTGAGCAATTCAATTTTGTTCTTCAGTTCAAGAATCAAGGCATCTTTCTGCTAAAGTATATAATTCACGATAACAATATCCAACTTATTATCATCCACAGTGAGATCACCGGTGACATTGAAAGAAGAAATGTCCTTGTCGTCGGCGTCTGTCATGTTGATTTCTGAATCTTCACAACAGATTATTCGTTCACTATTAATATATTTGATATTTTTTAAATATTTAACGCAACTGTTATGCGTAACAACTTTTGGTGGGAACGAACTCAACACTCGTCTTTTCGGTTTCAGCCATATTGATATATAGCTGAAAGATAACAATTACATTGAGCGAAAAAAACTTAAATTACAATGAAATAAATACAAGCAACAACCAAGAAATAAAAAAAAAACTATTAACACGAGATGAAAATTGAAAAATTATTAACAAGAAATGAAAATTAAAAGATTCCTAGCAAAGTTACTTCACGACGTTTCGATTGTTAGTATCCGCAATCGTTTCCGAGTGATAACTGAACTCAGTCCCCCGACATCTGACTATTTATAGGTCATTCGAATGCCTAGCTGACGGGAGTTGGTCGTGTTCCACTTGATTAGAGGTTTCCATATGTTGCGAATCTCTACGCTGGCAGTAAGAGATTTGAGCTGGTTCTAAGCCTCCCCCCACCACTATGACGTATTAATTTCTTTTTTTTTCGTTGTTTAGTAACATCAAGGCGATGTGACCTTGAAGTGTCTGCAGCATGGATCGTTCAAATTTTTTTTCATATGAGATTTTGTGTGTATGTGACATAATGACGTAATTACATTTGGTTGGTGTGTGTGTGTGTGAGAGAATGCACGGTACAGGGTTTCATCATGTGCTTGTCTATTTAGAAACATACGTCTGCATACTTCAAAGATCCTCCAAGTAATGAATGTTTCATCGGTGTGAGGCCACCAAGTTAGTAGTGGTGTGACGTCACAGCAGCAACCGTTCACCGGTAGGAGAGCGAGATGTTCATTCCACGACATGTGGCTGAGTAATGCGTATTCATCGGTGTGCCCTCACCTCTCTAGATGTGGTGAAGAATATGACGTAACGCATCGCTCTACCCTAGCAGCAACCGTTCAATGGTAGGAGAGCGAGATGTGCACTCCACGGCGTGTGGCTAAGTAATGCGTATTCATCGATGTGCCCTTACCTCCCTCGATATGGCGATGAAAATGACGTAACGCATGGCTCTACCGTCGCTCTCGATGGTGACGCGCAGGCGGCGAGGACTATGGTTTTCAAGAAACGGGCGAGTGTTGGTTATGTCAGTTTACATCTAGTGAGTAAGTGAGAACATATCATGGAAAATGTATTCTTGTGACTGTGGTGAATCTTTCACTTGTAGTGATAACCTTCGTCGTCATCAGCTCCAGAGTTGCCAAGGAGGTCCATCAGTGAAACGAGTGAGATTAGATGACGCTGCAACACTTATATACACATGTAATTGTTGTAATGTGACGATTCCATTGACTCAAGTGAATTCTAACAATAGAAGTCTGCAACATAAGAATAATGCATGTGTATAATTGAGTGATGGTGTTCAAATTATAAAGAGTGCCTTCATGCGTCGGAATGCTACATACAGGGTGCAGAGTTCCATTGTTTTCACCGATTACATGTTATTCTTTAATGAAATCAGGCAGAAAGTTATTGAATTATTGGAATCAGCCATAAGGTTTCACAAAATCATCCAAGTGAATATGGAAGTATTTGGGAGTTATACTCTGCAAACGCAAGACCTGAAGGAAACCAAATCATTTAACTCTCAGAATAGAATAGTTGACCAATCTACTGATTTGAATTCCTTATTTGATGGATTACGAAATGGAATTATCGCTCAAACTCAGGATTCCAGAAACGTGATTCAAGTAAGCATTTCTACTAAGTTTTAATTGGATGGATCAGTAATTTCGATTT